AGCCTCTATCTAAGTTAGAAGCTTTCGCTCAAATTGCAATGACGGCTGATTCTGGTAAACTCTTGCGTTAAATATTGTCGATTTTTACGTTTAAGTTCATATAACGTTTTATTTTTGTTATTTACGAAAACAGTTTTTGATTGTCCAATTAAAAACTTTCAGAAGGACGAGGAAACGTAGATCCCCCTGCTCTCTTTTCTAAAATGAAGAACCCCATACCGTGCTAGGCCGCAACACATCCCAACCCCTACGGGGCTCTCCAGCTGTGGTTTACGACTCACATAAACTCTAAGAAGGAGATAAATTGTGTTTATGGCCGTACAACCACAACGCGAAAAGATATTGTCTTTTTAGCCGGCGTATCTGTGAGATCGTGTCCCGCTTTGGATACAGATCACCGGTCGATTGTAAATTTCAGTTTTCCCCTATGAAAAAAATATTTATTAGACTTATTGAAGATACTGTTATACATTATATTTAATAATCTACAATCCTTATACAAGTCAATATGTTCACAACACAATATCAACAAAAGACGTAAAATTACATTGTTCGGAATAAAGAATAAAGATTACGTAATTCATAAATAAATACCTACATAAAGCGATAATTAATAAATAGCCAATGCAACACCACATTTACAAATTGTAAGAAAGCAATTAGTAAAAGAGAATAAATGAAAATACACTGACAGGCCAAAAATTCCACCCACTTGTAATATACTTAATTTGTATATAGTTTTATATATTAATCAAAGTTTCATGTTTTTTTAACCTTTAATGATTGAGTCTTTGTCTAAAAAAGAAAAAAGAATATAAATAGCTAAGGAAAAAAATTAAAAAAGACGGACAGATAAAATTTGTTTTAATTTTACTTTAGATTTGTAATTAACATTTCAATATCGCGTATTTACTCCTTTTGCCTTAATTACATCTTGAAGACGCTTCGGCATACTGTCTACCAGCTGCTAATGTCTCTTTGCTGGAGGTGAGCCCATTCTTCACGAAGAGTACTTTCAAGATTGTGGAGGGTATCAGGAAGTGATGGACGTGCTCTTCGTCGTTTGAGGTTATCCCCTAAATGCTCGATGGAGCTCAAGTCTGGAGAACGGGCTGGCCAGGCTAAAACCCTGAAGTTATGTTGAAGGTACGTTTGTACTATGCGGGCGACATGTGGACGGGCATTATCGTACATTAGAATAAGATTGCCGCTGATTTCATCGAGGAACACACGATGTTCCAAAATTTTATCCATCTAGCGAGTGGCCGTCCAAGGCCATCCACGAACAACAAACAACTCTGTGCGACTCTCCATTGATATTCCCCCCCCCCATCTCTGAGCTACGTTGAAAAGGTTGACTTTGTGAAAAATTACAAGCTTCGTACCTTTCCTTTCTCCTTCTCCACACTCTTTCACGCCAATCTAGAGATCGTAGAGCAAATCTATACTCATCTGTAAAAAGTAAAGCAGACCATTATTCAATAGCCGCAAACCTGATGAACGTCCATCAAACTAAATAGTTTATTGCTTCAGAATTCAAATGAGACAGAATAAACATTTTAAATTCCGTAAAAATTAAACATTGAAAAATCCTTTATACTTGTTTTGGATTAAGGATTAAGAGTGTTACCTCTAATTGATATTCCCAATTTAAAACATAGCTTAAAGTAATATTTATTGGTAAAAACATAGAGACAAATTAAGGACAAATATTTTTTTTATCGAGAAAATGGAAAAAAAATCATTTGGGTGGAATTTTTTGCCTGTCAGTATATATTACTAATTAATGAAAAAACGTAAAAAATATAGGCCCCATAATTTACTAATGATAATAATGACTATACACGACTACCAGATAATAGACACCCCCTTATCCTTTTGGCTTTTTGTTGTGGAAATATCCAAATCGTAACTACCTTTATGTTCAACCTATTTTAAGTATTTTTCTATGTTATTAGTTTTTGGAAATTGCCCAGGATAACGCAGACATCAAATCCAAATTCTTAATTTTAAATTGGCGTACCTTTTAAAAACCACGATTTTTAAAATGAAATTTGGTTTTAGATTCAGATCTCTATCTCAATTTTTCACGGAGTTATAAATTTTGTAATGATGATAAAACCGAAAATTGACTGGTATTATTTTTTAATATGGGATATAAAATTATTGTTTATCTCTGTATTATTTCACCAGCTAGCACACTATTTTGATCTTTGAAACAAGCTATGCTAACCAATTAATTTATGACCATATAATTTAATAGGACAAAAATACTTATTCAATTGATTTAGTTATTCATTTCACGTCTCTCTAGTTTTCTAATTAAATATGTCGGGAGGAAAATTTTGTACCTTAGAAAAAACTGCTATGTTTGAGTGTTTGCTAAAACGTGGCCGGTCACTTCGTAAAGGTGTCACATTGTACCAACATTCGAGTTTGACCTTCCTTAAGAAGTGCAAATGTGCGACTTTTGTCCCAGAATTGGAAATTTTATTGTATAGTTCGGAGAATCCAAATATATCCTTGCGATAACTAAGCCGTGAATTGAATTTCAGAAAAAACTAGAAGGTCCTTCATTCTAAAGGAATGCTACCGAATCGAGTGAGAACTAATAATATATCCATTATATTTCTTGGTCCGATTGGCCAAATAACTTTTTTCAATTAAGTAATCTTTATAAGGTAATGGTTGAAATGGAAAAGTTAGTGTCACGAGCGGGATTCGAACCCACGACCTTCGGCTAAATACGCCGCTGCTCTACTACTTGAGCTATCGTGACTTCGATCCACTCGGACACCAACTTCCCATCTCAAAAAGGAGGAAAAATCCGAAAGGTAGGTTGAGATGGGAAGTTGGTGTCCGAGTGATCGAAGTCAAGCGAGCTCAAGTGGTAGAGCAGCGGCGTATTTAGCCGAAGGTCGTGGATTCGAATCCCGCTCGTGACACTAACTTTTTCATTTCAACCAATACCTTCATAAAGATTAAATAATTGAACTAATAATATAATTGACTCCTGTTTAGCTTATATTAATTAAATAAAGCAGATAAAAATTAACTATTGTAAATTAACCTTTCAACATATCACTTATTTATTTTAGTATATATTTTTTTGACAAAAATAATTCTCCACAAATTTTGAACAAAAGACAAAATGCTTCCGCAATATTAATGTCATAGTTGATAAGATATTCCAAAATTATTTCATTTACAATTTCTCCCTGATTTGTTTGGTTTGAATTTTGTTAAAACACAGAAATCAGCAAAGGCATGAACGTGGCATTCAAATTAGCAGAGTGGAGTAGGTATGAGTTTTATTTTAATAATATGACTATTTTACTGTTTGGTCTTACCGAAAGAAAAAAGCTCCTTAAAGTTAATAATAAATTATACAGAATTTATTTCAAAATACAAACCTTATAAGATACACACGTGTTTAAAACAAAACTATTACAGTTAAATAATTAATAGTACACTATATTTATTTTGTTTAGAATGCAATATTCTGTACAATGGAATTGGGTTTTTCCATTAAGTAGAATAGGTACATAAAATAATATAATAATTGTTATATGTACGTGGTTATTATTAATAGTTCTACGAAATGACTTTTGCTGATCATACTTCGACAAAACTACTGGATTATTTCGGCTAGACGAGTAGTTAAAACGAGAGTGCATCAATGCTTACGATGCCATCGCCTTCGCACACAGGGTTTTACACCATATATGGGTGGTCTCCCTCTAGCCCGTTTCAACCGAACAAGGTCGCGCATTTATCAATGTCGGTACAGACTTTGCTGGACCTTTCTTTATCCGCGAGTCGTTACGTAGGAAAGCGGCAGCAGGAAAAGCATATGTTTGAATTTTTGTATGTTTTAGCACCAAAGCTATACACATAGAAATCATATCACAACTGACCATAGATGCTTTCTTGGCCACATTAGATCGGTTTATTTCCAGACGCGGGCTACCAAGCCAAATATTTTTCGATCATGGTACATACGCATTTTGTGGGCGCACTACGCAAATTACAAGAATTACAGAAATGATGGGAAAAAGAAGAGACAAAAGAAAAAATTTCTCGCCGCCTCCACAGAAAAGGTACAAAGTGGACTTTTATACCCCCGCACGCACCAAATTTCGGTGGTCTTTGGGAGGCAAGCGTCAAGTCTATTGAAAGCCACTTCACCCGCGTTGTGGAGCAACAACAGTTGACATTGGAGGAACTGACTACTCTTGCCTGTCGGGTAGAGGCGATATTAAATTCATGCCCTTTGTATCCGCTTTCGTCAGATCCCGAGGATTATGATGTGTTGACCCCTGGACACTTTCTAATCGGCGCTCCTTTAGTAGCAAGGATTGAAAGAGGTTTCCTTGACGGATAATTGTCTGGCTGCTGAAAAGTTTTAAAGAACTGAAAATCATTCGTGAGGGCATTTAGTGCCTCTGTGAAATTACTTGGGTTCCTAGCCCGCATAAGTGAGTCTAGGGGTTCTTTTAGACCTCTTAATAAGACACGGTGTGCGACGCCTCTCTCATAATCAATTAAAGTGTTGGCTTGAAGGGGAGTGTGGTTTTTAAAATATGCTATTTGTAAGTTTAACAAGTTCTGTACTCGTTGATAGAACTCATATGGTTTTTCATTTTGTTGTGTTAGTCTAGAGATTTCAATCTGGAGAGTGAACGCGTGAGGGAGGAAATGCAGTTTAATGCTGCTTACATAGTTTCTACGAATATCGTCTTCACGTGTCTTATTTCCGTGGGAAAGTGTAACTTACGCGCTTTACCACGATTTAAAAATAACAATAATTTGATATAACTTACACACACACACACGCACGCACACACACACACACACACACACACACACATATATAGACTGTTGTTTTTAACCTCTATCATTATAATATTTTACTTTTAATATTGTGACGAGTAAGTTATCCATTGTTATCTTAGAATTATTGTGTTACTTATTATTTATTAATTATAAATTGTAATTACTTGTGGAGCCCTGATGAAGACCTCAATAAAGGTTGAAAACTTGGCATAAGTTACAAAACTTGTTTTGATGACCGCACCCCTTTCTCGAACTTACTAGTGAAAATAAATAAAATACTCTCAAATTATACAACAAAAATTAACACACTTATTAAAAAATAAGCATATCACAGCTAATAAAATAAAATAAAACAACTAACGATTATGGTAACCTACAAAATGCCTCCTCCCAAAAAAAGATATTTGTGCTCTGCCCTAGTTACGAAGTATAAAAACAAATCCAAGGCGCAAACTTTCTGGTGGCCGCTACTGTCCGTTCTCGGTGTACATCCAACGGTTTTTCCGAAGAGCCTTCTTCCTTGCGCCGACGGTGGGAAAGTCATCCTTGTTATAGCAGCTTCGAATCCCGTTCCATGTATCCATCCCGATTCCTCCAGGATGTATCTGACGTCAAATCTCCTTCCATCTTCTGGGGCCTCCTGGACTGTTCGCGTTCTGACTCGCACAGGAATGTAGGACAATCATCCTCCTCTTGGAGCCACAAATCCCCTTTCGGGACCCAGCCTGATCACTCGATCCAGGGTGGCCTCAGCTGCGCGCGACTGGAAAATCTGGCGAAACGCTGACTCCTATTCCCACTTCGTATCCTCGGGTCTACTGGAGTCCTCTTGGACTCCACTCCAGCGTTGCTCTCTCATCTTGCCTGTTATTCTCCTCTCCGCTAGCGCTTCACACCTCCTCTGTATTTTCTAGTAAATCACGAAATTTATGAATGTTCACACTATCAATTTATTAAAAAATCATGTTTTGATTTCTAATTAATATGGGGCGAGTCCTCTTGCCGGTAGTCGGTGCCAACTATTGAGTTTATGGTCTGGCGATAATGCTGGTGCCAAAAAATTATTTTATTTTTGTGTTGTATTGACTGTCGGCGTAATTGACGGATTAGGTATTTACGCTGTTTGTTTAGGCAGGTTAATGTGATCGTGAGTCTGTTTTTATAATTTTAATGAACTAAATGATCAGTGGTATACGGTGATTTGTGCTGTATCAAGTGTCTACGTGTTGTATTATTGAGTTTTCAACTTGTTAATACTTTTTTTATATATTAAAATCGTCTTTATTTACCGGTGTTTTTTCAATGTTCTTTGTACTTTTTATTTTCCTGCATGTCAGACTTGTTAATTTTTCTTCTAAATCGCAAGCATTATTGTACGAAAAGACCCTCCCCCATATTGGGTGGATTAAATTATTTGTATTTAAAACTATGAAGGGAGTTAGGGTTCTAAACGCTTATATAGGCCCTTCGCTTGAAATGAGTTCATAAAAGAGGGGGTTATACCTTGTTTCTCTCTATGCACATTCTATATTAAGCTATCCTTCGAAGGGTCTTCCTTTCCTCGGTTTTGTTAAATAGGGAAATAGCACGCTTATACTGTGAAGAGACTCTTTTTAGAAACAAATGTATATTCTAAAAAAATCGGAAACATTATAAATCCTCTATTTATTTACAATTTTATAAATAAACAAGTTATAATTTAGATAGATCTTTTATTATGAAGAGACGATTTATCAATGATTGAAATTCGCAAAATTCCACACAAACTCCCTAAATTAAGGTTGGTGACCACCTTTATGGTCAAAGGTTGGAAAATTCTGTGTTTGTGGAAAGGCAATTAATAGATGTAACATATTGGCTATCCAGTAATCCCGAAGGACCTCAGTAATGTCTATCCTCCTAGTTTAGGAAATTTTGTCATCCGCCTTGTAAGGCCAAGTCATTGCTTTAGCCCTTCCAAATGTCCAAGAAATATGAAAACATTAATTTCAAAATGACAAAAAAAAGCTATTGTGGGCAATATGAAATGGAACATATATAACAATATGTTTGAATGAACAAATGAGTTGTTGCTTTGTGTTTTCGGAAGTTTATTAAAAGGTTTCTTTTATTTTTGTTTGCTTTTGCGTTGTATATTTTGATTTTCTGACATTATTTCTAAATGTTCATATGAGTTTTGGAATCCTTATTTTCACTGCCTGTCTGGGCGATGTATTTTATTATAGTATTTATTTATTTTTTATTTATTTCGTAAATTCGTCGTTTTATGGTTTGTCTCAGAGATTTTGTAATAGTGCTAGTTGTTTGCAGTGCAGATTGTATGTTTAATTTGTTAATAGATTGGTTAGTTTGTACATTTCTTTGTTTATGTATGCCTTTGTTGAGCGTACTTTTTTTATCTTTAGTTTACTAGTTTGTTAATTGTGTCTATTTTTCACTTCTCTTTTTTGTAATGTGTCTTATTGAAATTAAAGTTATGAATGTGATTTTTACTGGCATTATTGGAGCTCGATTTGTGTCGCTGTTTCGAACTTTAAGATCGAAAAGTGTATGTGATAATTTTATAATTAAAACAAAATTAGTTATCCATTATGAAATTGGGCAGGATTAATTTTAATTGTGTGCTAATTAACAGTTTATTACCGTATCGTGAAAGCAGTTCTGAAATGAATAGCCCATTTCGGATTTGTTCTGCACGATCTGTCAAAAGGGCCCTCCTGGGAACGGTTTATAGCGCCGTAGTACGAGGTGATCAAAGTGCCAAATAGATTTACCTCCTGGCATCTTTCTCGGCATCCGAGTTGCCGGGGGTTTGGAAACTTTTTTGGAACAGTACGCCCTCCTTACTTCTTTCCCACCCTCCACCGGGCCCCCCCCAGTCACGGTAATGCGTTGCATTAGACTTGCTGAGTTAGGGGACCCTCTTCTGAACCCACCCCCGCCTCCACGGCTTGCTCCCGATCGCCCCCAATAACCTCGCTGGTGAGCGGATGCCAGCCGTTTTGGTTAAACCAAGTTTGGGCCATTTTTCAAAAGCTTTTGACTTCTTGAAAAAGACGCTTTCACGGAGTTTGGACTAGATTTTGTTTAAACTTACTGAAAAACTGATGTTCAAGTCACTCACTCGTGTCCTCTTAATTTATTGAGTTAATTTTGTTACTTTGCAGTAGCTATTAAACTGCTGTTTTGTAAAAATACAAAATATAAAACACTTTTCCCTATTTCCACGGCCATAACCAATCTATCATCACTAAATTAGAAAAAAGGATGTCCAACTATTATTGTACTTATTGCAAAACTTATTTTCGCTAAAAACCTTTTCACTTTTTTTAATTTAACATTTGAAGACTGTTATCTTTGGCTCATTGTTGGTTGGCTTATTTGGATTGTAATCTTTGAGATAGCCTGTACAGTTATAATTCTGAATATTTTTCAAATTAAGAAATGACTACATGGTTTAATATTTAAGAATTAAATACACTTAATTTTATAAATTTTCAATATATTCACTTGATATATAGCAATCCTGAGACTCCTGTTTTACGAAAAATCAAATTGTCAATCACAAATAAAATTAAACTGGCAATGCATAACTAAATATTTGCAATATAATTAGTAGAGATATTTAGGGGTTGATATACGTAGTGATTCGTTATTCGTACAACAAATGACGCCAGGTGCTTCTACACCTCTAATGCAACAAAAAAATTATATGAATAATGTCCTTTTGCAGATATTCAACATTTTATGGTTGCTTTTTCAACTATCTATGGTTATCAATTAAAATCTACTCGAAGCTCTTGAACTCTTCATTTTTGGGTAAATAGAAAAATGCATAGAAAAGAGCTTTAAATTTCCTTAAGACGGCACCCTTTTATAACATTCAATTTAATTTTTGGAAAAAATAAACAACAACAAAGTCTAAATCTTTCAAATACTGCTAAATTTCAAGTTGGTTATAAAAAAAAAAATAAATTTGCAACCTTATTGAAACGATTGACGGTAGAGCTTGGCAAATTTCATAACAACTTTTTTGTTTAATAAAGTTGTAGCGATATACCATTTTCTTTAATTACATCCAGCCAAAATGCCGAAATTTTATGCAAAATGGGGGAAAAAAGTGGCAACGGTGTGAAAAAGGCGAAATGGAGGAGGAATTTTTTCTCCTGGGCAAAATTTATTTTCCGAGTTTAACTTAATAAGAAAATATCACAACATAAAAAGTACAAAAGAAATTCAGAAGTTGGAAAACCCATCTTTCAACTGAAAAAAGAAAGAAAAATTCAACATAGTTTGGTCGTCCATTATGCTTATTAAATTTGAGATGGGTAATTAGTGTCCGAGTGGATTGAAGTCACGATAGCTCAAGTGGTAGAGCAGCGGCGTATCTAGCCGAAGTTCGTGGGTTCGAATCCCGCTCGTGACACTGCTTTTTTACCTCAACTAAAAACTTTAATTAATTGAAAAAATATGCTTATTGTATTTTTTTGTGTTTTGTTTTATTTTTACGTTGAAATTTTCTTTATTCTTGTGTTTTGACAATGTAGGATGGTTGTATTTATTATATTTTATATGTATTGTATGATAAATATTAAAGTTAGTTTTTGAGCTTTTTTTAGTAGTTCTAAATTCCATTATTTTGTGAATGCTCAATCTATATCTTGATTGTCGGTTTTTTTAAGACCAGCCAGCCAAATTTAAGGCAATTTTATTGTGACATCGGTACAAAGGATTTTCGTATATTGAAATACCGGCCTGGATCGTACAAGTCGAGTTTGTTTTGACGGTTTTGCTTTGGCTGAAACAGAATTATTTTGCGATGTGCTGCTATATTTCTAATTCATACCCTTTCTTACTTGATAGCGTCGTTTAGACGGTAGAGTTGGTAACAGTATTGATGAAAGTTCTCAGAAAACAGATTTTCTCCTGTCCCGGAAAATTGATACACGTGAATGAAATTCAAGGTTAATCTTCCAAGAAAAGGATCTAAGAATAAAATTATAAAAAGAAATCACAGACTAAAGAATTCCAGTTTGTAACTCATCCAAGTTGATAAACGAGAGCAAATTATTTAAACAAAATGCTACATAGCAAGTGACAATTGGTTTTATTTTATTCCCTTGTCCAATATATCAAACATTGTTGAAAAAGTGTAGAAATAAGGCGATAAACAACAACATAATCAATGAAAAGATAATTAGCATTGCGTAAACAAACTGAGAGATAATATTTATTAATTTTAAGTACAGAGCATACTGGTAGACTTTTTAAGCAAAATCCTTTCTAAAACATACAATTATGTAATTAATTAAGTAAAATTTTGCTCTTATTATTTAGGCAATTTGTTCAAAATATTTTTCAACTCAGGGCAGCGTTGGAAGCTTAAGAGGGTTTACCCTTTTAACTACATGATCGCATATTACTACTAATAACCAACAGCTACTTTCAAGTCAACAGTGGCTCTCCAACAGCCTGCTTTCTGGTAGATGTAGGGGTACCCCAAGGAAGTATTTTAGGAACCTGGGGTACCCCAAGGAAGTATTTTAGGAACCTGGGGTACACCAGTAATAATAGGGTAGTTTGCGGATGACGCCGATTCTTCACTGACTCGGAAGTACCAGTTAATAGCTTCGAAGGATGGGGGAAGAATATCCTTTAGCAACACCAGCAAGCTTAGATGCCAATATATCGTATCTTACCAGAGAGGATAGTTGTTTCCCATACAAGTATCAGGTTTGAGGATTGTAAAGTGTGGGAGCCAAAATTCTACCTTGAGGAATCTCAGCATGCATAAGGAAATATTCTGGGAGGAAAAACCAGTCAGTGAGATGGACTGTGCAGTATGAGATTGTAGATGGAGGGAAGGTTTCCTTTAGGAAAAATGTCAAGACGGGTGCCAAATTCGAAAAGCTTGATGTAAATCAAGAAAGGCCCCAACAGTACTGCCCCAAATCAAGCTAAGAGGTCATATGTCTTTCACATTGGCATGATGCATGGCAGTTGGAAAAGCCAAATTGATGGTCGAGGATATTTGTGTATATATATTTTGTGAATTTAGGATTGGAAGAATTCTATTTAATAGGAGCTTCTCTATAATTTTTACCCAAAATAGGTTACCTATTGGCCTAAATGAAGCAGAACAATATGTTGGTGTTTTCTGGTTTAGAGAACATTCCTATACACGAGTTTTTCCTTGCTATAGTGAGGTAGGTCATACTGTTGTTATTTTAGATTGGTTTTGAAAGTTCAACAATAATAACACTTGAACCATGAATAAAGTAGCATTAGGTGCAGATGTGAAATGGGCTGTAGTAAACGTTAGTTTAATAATCACTCATCATCAGTAAAAACAAAAAAACTTTGGTTTTTTATTGGTCTTCTGTACATATTGCCAAAAGATTATCGAGATTAAACCTAATTAAGTGATTAAATTATAAAATTATGTACTGATCTATGCTCCAATTTTGCGGTTTGCTATCTAGGGATTTTTAAAGGTTATCAATATGATTTTTTCGTAAAATGCCCCTCCACAGCACATTAGCTTTTATATCTTGCTATCTTATCAGGAGAAATGGCAGGCACTTGACATAATTAATAATTGCGTTGGCCGCCAAAATTTTGTCAGTGTCAGTAGTATGGATTTTACCTTCATGTCTAACTGTTTGTTATGCTGATCAAATTCATGAACGGCACATACTTTTAACCTTGTTACAGAAAAGTATTTCTATCATAAACCCTTTTTGAATTGTTTTTAATTAAATTCTTTTAAATAGTCTTTTGTTTTTATTATGCTTTTTATTTGAAGCCCACTTTCATAAGCCTGCCAAATTTAACTGTTGTATTGTTGTTTACTGTTCCATGAAATACGATCCGGCCTGTGATTGCGTCAATAACATTAATGTTTCGATTGTTTGTTTATAGGTGTTGCCATGCCAGATGGCTGACAGTGGTGGCGCCCTGGGTTGCTGTCTATGCCTCTACCCGAGGGTCGATCCCCCGCGAACTCCTCCCCTTCCCAAACCACCGACTCCCGTTTCCTGCAAGAAAATCCTCAAGAAAACAAACAAGGTTTGTATGAATAATTATAAAATAAGAAAAAAAACGCCAGAGGGATTGGCTGTTATGACTTATTGATAGGATAATACATTAAATGAACACATGATGTTGACTTGTTAAAGTTAAACTTGTCCATATTTTTACGGTTTATACTTAATTAATCTGTGCTAAAAGAATATCTTTATGCCAAACATGAAAGCTCGTGGCGATGAAATTGACAAATCGTTCTGATTTTCCACTCGGGTTCGACAATTTATCGATTTAAATTGGCCCCGGGGGATGTTATATTAGACGATCGCTGAGGCCACCCAATAGGACCCTCTTTCCATTATCCTGCAGGAAATTTCCTTTGGTGGAAATAGAAGATGTTAAGTGGGTAAAAAATCACCTGGAAACCCTCCGACATCTATCATCACTCAATTGGTCGGAAAAAGCGCATTCCGACAGCGAATATTACTTCTATTAATGAAAAGGTTCTAGATTTTAATCGTTGAAAGCATCATCATTGCATATTTTTCTACTTCTTTAGCTTTGGATGTTGAAATTGACTGTGTTCATTAAAAGATATTTATAAAATTGTAAAAACACAAATTCTGTCAACAAGTTTTAAGCATTAGGCTTGTTATTTGTATGAATATGCCAAAACATTAAACCAAACATTAACCCAACAAACATAATTATGTAATTTAATTAACAAATATTTAACTTGTTCGTAAAAAATAATTTAAAGGAGAGGGGGCTAGGCTGATCCAGTGCTGCCGTTCGTTCTTATGGAAAAGTAGTTCCTAGCTCTAAAAGTCTGTAATTTATAAAAATAATACTTGTTTCACGCATTCTCTCTTCTCTCTCTCTCTCTCTCTCTCTCTCTCTCTCTCTCCCCCCCCCCTTCGCCAACTACCTCTTTCAGCTCTCCCTCTCCCAACCTCTCGCTCGTTCCATTTTTTTTCTCTCTCTCTCTCTTTCACTTTCCATTTTTTTTCTCTCTCTCTCCTACTCTCTTTCTTCCTCAGTCTCTCTTTTTCCTTTCCCCTCTCTCTTTATCTCTCTTCTAGATTTCTTTCATTGCCTTTCTTTCTTCTTTCACTTCTTTCTCTTTCTTTCTTTTTTGAAATTTTTCTTTACTCATCATTCTTTTTCATTTTTATTGTTTTATGTAGAGATTAGTGACCGTTAATCGATATCTGAATAACTATTTATTGTTTTATATAACTTTTTCTTTCATCTCACTCTCTGTCTTATTTCTCTCTCTCTATCTCTTTCTCTCTCTCTTTGTCTTTATGTATTTTTCTCTATCCCCTTTTTATCTCTCAATATTTCTCTTTCAATGGCTTTCTTTCTTCTTTTTCTCCTTTTCTTTATTTCTCTCTATCTTTATTCATCTTCGTTTTCCTTTTTTGGAAGTTTCTATATATCACTCTGTCTGATTTTCTCCCTTATTCTTTCTTTTTCTCTTCTCATTTGTCACTTTTCCGTTATTTATATTTCTCATTCAACGTTATTTCTCTTATATCTCTCCCACTCTCTGTTTTTCTTTCCTTTTTCCTAAATTATTTTCATTATTTCTCTCTGTTAACTCTTTTTTCTATTTTCTTTCATTCTATCATAGCTTTTTAAAACTCTCTTTCTTTCCACTTTTCTTTCTCATGCATTTTTTGTCATTTCTCTCTTTTATCTCTTTCCCCGATTTGTCTTTCTCTTTCATTCTTTCTTTGTTTCCTTCTTTTTTTTCTCTCTTGACTCACTTTCTAACTCTCTTTCTTTCTCTTTCATTGTTTCTGTTGTCTTTCTTTTATTTATCTCCCCATCAATCTTTCTTTCTCTTTCATCCTGTCTTTCTTTCTTGCTTTTTTCTCTCTCTCCCCCTCTATCTATCTAACTGGGTTTATCTTTTTTCTCTCTACAAACTTTATTCTCAAAACCTTTTCTTCTCTAAAAAAGGGCTTTATTAGTTTTTTTAGTGATTCTATTAAATTATAAATTTAACTCCAGGGCTTTATTTTGAGTTAAGAACCTTGAAATTAGAAGTGGGTTAAAAAAAGGCGCTTTGGCCGGTGACACACGTCCACTTCATCCCTCAAAGCAGGACCTCACTCGATCAAGGGATATCTAACGATTATCCGGCCAGTGATCGACGTCCATGTCGGTACCACCACAATTCATTCTCCGTTCAACCCTTAAAAATTCACGGTTTCGTAATCAAAATTTTTACTTTAACCGAGACTGCTAATTCGTCTTGAATAGTTGATTAAACATATTCAACCTGATGTTATTACAGTCAAGTTGAAAATTTAAACTTATCCATGGTGTTAAGTGTATAGATTCTCTTGTTTATTCCAACAAGTACAGTTTTAATCAAATTAAATAAAAAAGTCTGGCATCAAGACTGCATGGAAGGTTCAACACAAGAAAGATGTAATCCTGACCCCGAGCAATTATGATACCGATTTGATACTAAATGACAAATTAAGCTTTAATTTGAGCGAGTTGTGAGTGTTGCATAGTGAACGTTTTTATATCATTCTGTTTCTGAATGAAATTTTCAAATTTTAATGAAGCTCTCATTGAGAGAGATATTTATGATAATAGGAACTATTATATAACATATTTTAACCTATAATAAAAACCAAATCCATGGTTTATTTGATAGATAATAGATATACTCATCACTATATCATAGAAGTTAAATTACTTTAAATTAATCATTTTCACGGGCTGGTACAAGATGTTGCAATTAGACATGGCAACGTAGGAGGTTATTTAACTCTTTTAAAATAAGAATATCAAAATATTGCAGTTTAGTCCTGGTCCACCAGCTCTCGTTGTTTTGCTCTGTCATGCTCATTTCCTTCATCTTTCCTCATTTACTATATACACATTTCCCTGCGTTCCGTATATACATTCTGTTTGAAAAATGAAGAATCACGCAGTCATTAATACAAACTTACAATAAATTATAAAACATAATCTTTGAATTAACAGTTGAAACTACAAATTATTATGTTGGTGATAAGATTTGTATTAAGATATATATATGTAATCATACAGCCCATTTACAAACAAACAAGGGGTCCCTGGGAATTAATAAAAGTTGGTGTCATTGTAAACTGAAGTGTGGCTTCGCCATGGACTCTATCTCAATGTGAGAGGAAAATTACGGTCCGTTCCAGATAAGTGGAAAACGTGTGAATACCTAAGGGGATTCTGAGCGGGGATGGCACTCTGTGAGTTGTTGAACACGTATACCTATTAGAATGCTAATAGATAATATATATTAACTTGCACCACTAAACTTGCAGCTTTGGCCGTGACTGCGATCCCATGGGAAGGGTGTTAAAATTAAACGACGCATTATCCGCTTTGTATGATCTGCTGTTATGTTTATTTTTCATGAGTTTTCCTTGTAATAGAATTACTTACGATCGGACCGGGCAAATCTGGGGACGCGTAAAATTTTAATCAGGACGGGCTAATTAGTTAAAAAAATAATTGTGCACGACCTCCGATGGATGGGGTTATCGAAAAAATAAAAATAATTGGCTAAGTTTTTAAAAATAGTGTACGGTTTTGGTTTTGCATTGATAAAACCAAAAATAATAGCTGAAGCATTAAAATTATGAAAATTGTTGTATAAAATGTTCCAACAGGTTTTCTGCTACCATTAGAATTACATCAGCCTAATTTCCTATTTCTAATATTTAGAATGGCATACTTGCACAAATAGGCTTACACAGGCTTGTCCGCAAGGATCCAAGGAGGCCTGAAACTTATAAAAAATCATCCAGAGATATCTAGATTGGACAGCAAAACAAAACTTTGCAATATCAAGTATTTGTTTGCAGGCTAGTATTTAAAAATTTATGTTGAAATTGCCAAGCCAAGGGCGTATGATAATAAAATACATTTTTTGGGGGGCGTCATAAAAATAGACTTCAGTTCCAGTTGTCTTTATTTTATGAATAAACTTTTCGCTTAACCTAGAAGCCATGGCTCGAGCATTCGAGGAACCCAAAAAAGCTGGTTAGTTTCGCTAAACGCCTTTTTGTTTTCATAATGAGATTTTAATTTAGTGTGTAGAGATTAGTGACCGTTGATCGAGAATTATTCAAATATTGTGAGATGCGACACCAGAACGCATCTCACGATATCTGAATAATTATTTTAATTTAGAAATAATTTCGTCATAAAGTGCTTTAACGCAGGTGTTATGTTGTTTAGATCACGGTTTTTTTACAATTGAGTTATAACTGCTTAAATTTTACTTATGTTTGAAAACGGGGACGGTTTTTGATAATCCATCTGGTTTCCTTTCCAGATTATAATAGAAAGAAGAATTAAGAACGGCTATAAGTATTTGAAAATTTCAAAAGTAGTAAGTTGATCAAGTTTATTTCTCCTTCGCGTGAAACCCAGGAGATTAGATTTTAACCTTAAATACTTTGCATTTCAATACCAATGATACTTGCTCAAGCCAGAAGGATCGTTGAATTTGGCAAACTTCGTCAAATGCAACTAAGCATATATACAGGGTGTTCCGTGAATAGACATCAGTACTTTAAGAAGTTTTCTTTCATCTCAAATTAGATTAGAAAGTTTTTATTGAACAAAGCCTGATTTTTTCTCGAGATATTACATCAACCGTTCACTACTTTTTTCTTTAAAGTCTCACCTATCTCATAAAAATGTTAATTTTACAGTAAATTTGATTATATCAATAGAATAATTATTAAAAATCTTATGAGGTTCATTTTTTACAGTAACCTTAAGTAAACACAAATCATTTAGAAGATAAACTGCCATTAGATTAGAATGAGAAGAAAAACATAAATTTATGCACTGAGATGCATCTATTATTATTATGTATTGCAAATTAATTTATGCTTAATATAGCAAGAGCAAAAACAGCAGCATTATTCAAAGCAATAATTTATGACCAATGTCTATCCACTCCAGCAAAATGAAGAGTGATGAGGAAATTGATGGAATAATTTACTTCTTCCAATTTCCAATTGTTAAAACTTGCGAGAAAACTTATGATTGAGAACAACAAGAGGAAAACTTTCTAAGATAAATCTCATTACAAATCAGGTTCGATATTCCATCTGAATATTAACAAGCCGCCAATGAATACTTATTTTCGTTTCGATAAAATCTTTTGAATACAATTAGCTCTCTAAATTGAACATCTTTCTCCCTATTGGCTCAATATTATAAAAGATATCTTGGACTTTTTTGTGCAGGTTCTGTTGTATCCAGAAGAAGGGTGGGCGAGAAGCGCAGCTTCCTCATATTGGACGCTCACGCCCTGCTGGTGGAGCAGGTCTGCGTGCACAGTTGTCGAGGTTGCTGGCACAAGGAGGTAAGACGAACAATTAAAAATTTGTCCAAAGTTCAAAGAACTATATCCAATTTATCATTAAACAAAGGCGAAAACTTTATGCGACTATAAAACATTGCCAGTCAATAAAAGAAAATGCCATCAATGACCACTCCTTCATACTTCGTTGAATTTTTGTTGTAGGAGTTTTTCTTTCAAACTGAAATTTCGGTCAGTGAAAATGTATTTAATAAAAGAAAATTTCTAGTCAAATCTGATAAAAGTATAGTTATTATTGAAAATTTTGTAACCCGATAAATGCAAATAAATATTAAACCCTTTACGATTGATTTATTAGTGTTTTTATGTTCCATGTTTCATATCTTTGATCAGATTTGAACAGATTTATTTTGATTTGAAAAATAAATAGGAAAACTAAGATTACGCAACATTCCGTGACAATTTGTTATTTCACGTACTTTGTAGGAATTGAATGTATGATGATAAATTTATTAAAATATATTATATATAAATCATATTTTTTCATGAATTTAAGCAATCAAAAAACATTCTGTACAACACAAGACTAGCATGAATATTTGAAAATGTGAGAACATTTTATTTTTAATTTTAATGTTTTCTTATGGAAAATATATAAATTATTTGGTAACATAATTGATTTTATAGCAAGAAGACGAGTTTTATGACAACTCGAGTCTAAACATAACTTGCTACAAATTTATCCACCGATCGATTGTCCAATAAAAACCTCGCTCTTTTATCTATTGATTAAATCAATTCTAATTTGTTTTGGACATATAATAAAGTTAATTATTTTTACTATGGCAAATATATTGGATATTTCAATAAATAAAAAACAATCTCACGCTTTCCATTAAAACGTATGCAGGATTTTTGTTAGATAAGTAACAAAAAATTTCATTCCTAATGTTAAGCAAGGCGTAAAATTGAAAAAGAATCCCGTTCCTTTATAAGGAAAAAGGGGGAGGAAGCTAGGAAAAACGTGTTGCCGATCCGATTGGTACAAGTTATCAGACACCGAGTTCATCGGGTTGGATTTTTTCAATCGAATTCCCCCCTTTGTTTTTTTTTTAACAATGACAGAAACGGAGAAAATTTTTGAAATGTTATCGTCGGCTAGAAAGAAAGGGACTAAAAGATGGAAAAAAGCAGCAAATATTAAATTGACATAGATAGATCGGAAGGAGCCGAAAACCCTTCATGATTTCATCAGTTCATCCGAACTTCAATGGAAAAAATCCTGTGTGAGTGATATTGTAGCTTTATCAAATAACAAAGTAATTTTGAATAAAGATAAGTAAAAATATATTTTTTGTTGTATATTCTCCTTAGTTCAATAACTGTATCTTTATTCTTTATAACAATAAAAAATATTTCTACATATTTTAATAAATTCACTGTTGCAATCTATTATTTATCTATATATTTATGCCTATAAATTAGGACTATTTTATTATATAATTCTATAGAAATCGTACTTTGTTAAATCAAATCTCTTTGGTGTTGCGGAAGTGTTGATCCGTGCGCCGTACTATGCAATACACCGGTTTAAATCAAAAATGTGATTGTCTTGCCTATTTGGTTATGTTGTGTCGGTGGTTGCGTGAGGCGTGGTGCGTATAAAAGTATTTTTTATTATTTTTACAGTAATAATTTATTGAGTCGCAGTTCACTGGCCAAGATCTCAATACAAACTGCATGTAAAAGAAAAATCGAAATTTCTACGACTATTAATTCTTACTAAAGAATTTTCAATTAATTTCTTTTACTACAATTGTTTTCAAATAGTTAATGAATTTATATTTGAGTATACTTGACTAAGAAGTCCTTGTTTACGCCTGAATTTAAATTGTATTTTTGTTTTTAATTTAAGTTATGCGGTGCGGGAAGATGTCAGGCGTGCGGTCGTTGTGAATCAAGACATAGAATACAACTGATTGTAGTGCGGCAGACTAATAAAAATAATAACGACCGTATTGTTGAACAGAACTTAAACTATCGGATTCACAATACAAAATATTATTGCCTGAAACATCTAAATTTAAAGAAACAGAACGTATGCTGTCTTCTTGGCGGTTGAGACGCGACTGGTCCAGTTGACTGGACTTGACAAAAGGAAGGGCCGTTTCCATGGTAATGAAAATTACAAAACAAATCACCGTAGCAACGGCGACGTGTTAACACTGGTGCTCATGGCAACCAAAAGTGTAAACATTTGGTTCCCATAGCAACGGGAGGCGTAAACATTCGTTCCCCGTGGCAACGAGACCAAACAAACTAACTTAAATTAAAACAAAAATATACTTTAAATTCAGGCGTAAACAGTCCTAGTATGGCCAATTTTTAATTTGTAAATACAACAACGCTACCGAGGCTCAAGGCTTCAAATCTATTACTACCAACTTGTTTCTATCATATATTGGGTTGTCCGGAAAATAATGCAGGATTTTGGTATTAAACAAAAAAAAAGAAACTAGTTACTTTAAAGCAATGTTCTTTAATCAAAATAATTTCCCATACTCTCAATACATTTCTCCCAACGTGTTGGTAACTTATTAATTCCGTCTGAGTAGAATTCAGAATTTTTAGAATTGATAAAGTCAATAAATGCATTTTCCAGTTCCGTTTGATTTTTGAATATTATGTGTTGTAAGTAGTGGTCCAGGTGTCTAAAAAAATGGTAGTCAGTAGGCGAGAGGTCCGGAGAGTAGGGTGGGTGAGGCAAAGTTTCATAGCCAAGCTCCAATAATTTTTGTGACGTTACACGTGACACATGTGGTCGAGCGTTGTCATGCAACAAAATGGGCCCTTTCCGATTGACCAAAGAGGGCTTCATTACTGCCAATTTCTGATGCATGGTATTAATTTGGTTACAGTATGATTCAGCATTGATGGTTTCGCCAGGATTTAAGAAGCTGTAGTGTATTAAACCAAATGAAGCCCACCATACCGTAACCATTACCTTTTTTTGATGAGTTGGGGGCTTTGGAAAATGTATTGGAGCTTCTCCTTTGTCGAGCCACTGTCCAGAACGTCTAGTGTTATCGTAGAGAATCCACTTTTCGTCACATGTAACAATTCTGGCCAGAAATGGGTCATTTTTGTTTCGACAAAGAAGTGATGCACAAACATCAAAGCGCTGATTTTTTTGGCGATCGTTTAATGAGTGTGGAACCCAATTTTCGAGTTTTTTCACTTTTCCAATCGCCTTGAGGTGGTCAGCGACGGTCGTTTTACTGACTTTGAGTTGCTCTGCAAGTTCTCGAACAGTTGTTTTGGGGTTTTCTTCCACCACTGATCGCAGAACATCATCATTAAGAGAGGAAGGCCTTCCACGACCTTCTTCATCTTCAAGGCTGAAATCTCCCTCCCGAAATTTTTTAAACCACCTTTGCACAGTGCACTCATTAACACAACCCTCGCCCCAGACTTGGTTAATGTTTCTAGCCGTTTGGGCTCCGCTTCGGCCGAGTTTAAACTCGTAAAAGAAAATCGTACGAAATTCTCGCTTTGACATTATAAGGATGACTGAATTATTTCCAAGTAGCGGAATGCTACAGAGGTAAACAAACAATATCATTTGGAAGAGGATTAATAAGTGTTGACATTCATACAAATGAGTAATCCTGTAAACGTAAACAGAATATTTTATATAGATTTTTTTTAATGAAAACTTAAAATCCTGCATTATTTTCCGGACAACCCGATACTTTGTGTACCAGAAATGTCGATCAGGTATGGAAGCTTCTTTGAAGAATTTTACAGAGATAATAAAATAGATTAATAATATAATCATAGTGTACTTAGAAGTGTCTAAAAGATATGGAATCCTTCCCGAAGGACAAAACAAAGGAATAATCAAATCAATACAAAGGAATATTTCGTTTTTTTCTAAACATTGTAATCTCTCTCTCTCTCTTTGTTTTTTCTCGTATATTATAAGAGAGTTCGTCCGATATCTAAATTTGCGAAATTTCTTTAAATAAAACAGTATTCGTTCATTCATTCTTTCTCTTTCCCTCTCTTTTATATTTTCGCTTTTAGTCAGTCTCACTTACACACTCTCTCTCTCTCTCTCTTTCTCTCTCTCATCATCATCTCTTCGCTCTTCGTTTCTATTCCACTCATACCTCACTCTCTGCCCATCTATTTCACTTGTTCTTTCTATTCCTATTTCACTCATTCACTCTATTTCTTTCAGAGCCAGGTTCCACCACAGAGAACGGTAGCAATTGTAATACGGAAAGCATGTTTTTTTAATCATTCACATTTGACAATAATAAAGGCAACGACATTAATTTGTTCTTGAGATGGTAATGTTTAAGAAAAAAGCTGTATTGCATTTCAATGGCTTCTTTATTTAATTTATTGGTACTATATGTGTAAATTAAAAGCAGCGTTGTTTTGTCAAGATAGAAAAACGAAGTTTGTAGTACCTGATATAAAGGTCGAACGTTGAACGGCGAAACCCTTGTAAAAGATATTTAAATTAGATGAACCTTATTTGGCCCGGGTAGGGGCTCCTGTTTTGAAAGGGAGCAACTCAAACTACCCCATCCCCGGCCTTAATATGCATCGTATTAGACAACAATGGAATACATTATTATCGGACAGGATCCGGCCTCCATATAATTTAACATGTATGCGATGATACAAATTGCTCCCAATCATACGTAGCCAAAACCAGTGAGGAGGATTACCTCATTTCGCTCCGATGAGCCCAAAACCCTCTCCAGTATTCAGCAGAATTTTTTCCCCGGATTTCAATAAAGCAGGGGTACGGGGACAACTTTACCTGCTCGAGTATCCATTTCATCGGTTTAGCCTAACTGGTCGGAAAATTGCAATGAGTATATTTTTCATATATTTCTAATGTGTTTTTTCTTTTCAAGCAAAACTTTTTTATTTTTCCTCATATCAATTGCACACGATGCTGGAAGGTAAGTTTTGTTTTTGAATTCGATAAAGCATAGGGACGACGATACTGAAGCAGAATCCAT